AGGATCGGGAACGTTGGAAGCACTGTCTGACGTGTCTGCCTCCGCGACCCGAAAGGAGAAGCGGCGATGGGAGATGAAGATGATCGAACTTTTGCCATACGCATAGTTCTTTTGAACGAATTGCATTCGTAAATCGACGGATATGTAATATGCAGTAATAAAAATAAACAGCAGTATGAGAAGAAAGAATGAAGTCAGGAAAAAATCCATATAGACATATATAGTAGTAATCGATCGAGACGGTAAATAGACATGTAGACACAGCGGTAAATATGAAATCGTTTTGGTATTAGTCAGGAAATCCTAATCCTAGGAAATGCTCTTTTAGTAGCATGGAAAGTTTTTCCGTCTCACGTTTGCTAATAATGCAAAATCTGTTATGCTTCTCCATGACGTTTTGCTTTAAAGATATTACAGTGTATGATCGTTCGACCAGATAGTGTTTAAATTAAGCCGATTGAGATGTCTCAACTGCGATGATTAGCACCCGTCTTGTGAATGATTTCAGAAAGGAAGGCGAGGCGAAACAGTTTATACTTGATCAACCGACCAACCGAAAATCCTGCGGATTGCTAAAAGTACTCTGGTGGAAGTGCTTTGATAGACTCTGCTCCAAACTCGAGTTATCACCTGCCAAAACTCAAACGCTGGTCTGGCACTGTTTGACCGGTATGCCTTCGCGACCCGAAAAAATAAGCGATCATCGAAATTGAGGGATTGAGTGACGATGGTTCGACTAAACGACGCTAAGGAAAGAAGCAGATAAAAGGAAATCCGGCTTACTCCTTATACTGATTATTGTTTGCTACTTACACTGTATAGTCAGCTATCAGGTGGGTGAAGACGAATTGAAATCATAAAGGAAACTCGCAGCGGACATTATGCAGTGCATCTCCTCCATTCAGGTATGACTAGACCAGAGCATCATGTTGTCTCTATTATTCGTAAATCGCCGGCTTGCTGCCCGTTTCTCGGCTAGTATGGCCGAAGCAGCGTGAGACTAACACCATGCTCAAAGGAACTCGTGTAAGATACAAAGACTGTCCGTTGTGCGGATTCGAACCGGGCCCTTCCGGAGTAGAAACCGATGTGTTTGCTACTGTCACCACGATTCTGAGTTACTGTTCATCGTACCTGGGGAGTAAAATTGTATTCAGTAACATCTTTAAAGTAAAATGCTGTTGCGAACCATTGTGAATTTTGCATTAGTAGCATTATTTCTGAAATATTTCTGTTGCAGCCGCTGCATGGCAGTAGTTCTTTTCGAAAATGCGGCGATATAGGTGAACAGCTGAAAATTCTAAAGGATGACAAAGTATGAGTATCCGGCGGGGGTGGTAGATCTTGGGGTGAATATTTTCATGTAGTTTGAATCGTGTACTATTGATGCGCAGGCAATAATCTGTGAAGGAGCTAGTCTGGATGTTGTTTTCCGTAGGTGAACAAGAAACATGGATTCCACCGGTGCTCCGACGACGACCGCAAAGGGCAGTCCGGCGGCTTCGACGGCGACGATCTCCGACAGGGCCACCATTCCACGTTTTGTCGTGCCTCAGAGCTTACAGCCGCATTCGAAATACGACCAGCTGCTGGCGGTGATCGAGGAAATTGGAAAGGACATCCGACCGACCTACGCCGGCAACAAGAATTCGGCCGAACGACTGAAGCATTCGATAGTACACGCGCGCATTCTGGTTCGCGATTGTTTCCATGAGGTGAAAAACTCGTCGTCTAGAAGCTAGGTGAACTTTGCTGGAGATGACTGCAGTTATGTTGTTGTTATAAACGTTGCCTTCTGGACGCGGGCGTTGTTTGTAATTTTCTGCGGTGACCTTAGCACGAGAGTTAGTCTGAGTTTTATGCAGATGATCTTTAGGTAACGAGGCGGGAGGGTCCAACTTTTCGGACTTTTCCATACAACAGTTCACTGTACGGGTTGAACAGACATAAGCCAAAACGTTGTTTCTCTCAGTAAAATTTTCTTCGTTGTTGTTGATGTTATGAAATGTTGAATCAAACAAAGCAGTCGCATTTGGGAGGATGAAGGACTAATATGACTGTTTTAAAACACAATACAAAAATCTACATTACGAAGAAGGTAGTCCAACAACAGCGATGTAAATTTCATAATACAATAGACCCTTGAAGTGTTCAAGGTTACTAGGTTGCAACCGCTGCAAGAAACAACTACTTTGCATTGGCGTCAAACAACTTAAACGTACATGTGTACAGTGCAGTATTAAAATAAATTTGTTGGCTGTTCCTACATTTAGGCGCTATATTGAACTTCTAGACTCCGCCTATGTATGAATAATCAGAAATCAACTGGTGCTGCTAGTCTTAACCTTTATACGCTCTTTGTTTGAATCTCGCTCCGTCAGGTTATTTCGAACGTTTAAAGTAGACTCACAGTTACTCGAAATTCAGGACGCTATCAGTCTTACAAGTAGCATAGTCCTATAGCAACTTCTATGCCTCAGTGGTCAGATTAATGCAGTTTAGTTCCTATCTTGATAAACCGTTCATTTTTTTGGACTGAATAGGAATTCGATTTTGATTGACTTTCGAAGATTTATAGCGCGAGAAAAATCTGTTATCTTTCACATCACTTGTAGATTAAAATACCATTTGAGGGCACCTTTTAAGCCTTGTTTGCCTCGATTGCACTACGATTTAGGATGTAGAGCACATTCACACTTAGGCGAATCACGTAATTTGTGTTCGCAGATAT